AACCGGGAGCATTTCATCCCTGGTCTGGGTACTGTATTTGTTTAAATGGAGATGGAACCTGAAACTTTCTGCACACAATCATGCATTTTACCCCTGGACTAGCAGAACTCAGTAGAAAACTTCAGATGCCACTAGGTGGCAGTAGAGAGTTACAGGAAATTCTAACTCTTTGCTTCCATCTAATGGCAGCATAGATCTGTAGCTCTAATGACCAAACAGTAGCAATTCACATAATGTAATAGAAAATAATTCAACTGGTTCCATATTCATTGATGGCTAATTAGCTGACATAATGAAGCAAACCCATATCTAATCCCCTGTCTTTAGAAATAGGAATTGCCAATGGGGCCATATGGTCCTGCAATTGTTATTTCAGCGCACTATGTATGGGTATTTAAAACTATAAAGTAAGAATGAATTTATATACCATAAAGGCAAGACCCCAAATCCAAATTAAAATTAATAACACAGACAACAACAATGAAGATAACTAATAGCCAATCCCTTGCATTCATAATAGCAAGTTATATCCATTTACTTTGATGGCAAATCACCTACATAAATGCTCTGATAGTTATTTATAGCCGGTTTCTCCTTCCCATCCTTGTAATGAATTGGGGGAGGGGGTTAGAGTTAAAAGTAGGAGAACTTTAAATCCCCCAATGAACATCTGGATGATAGCAAGTATCTCTAAAGTATTGCCAGATACAATGAGCAGCAGTGCAAATAGCATCCAATCAAAGACAGCATTGGAACTGCCACATACCCATTTTTAATGCCTTGTAGGATCAGCCCTCAAGAAATGTACAATATCTATGATTTACATACAAGCTCTGCTGATTAATGTTATTCATTATGAGTTGGATTATGTTTCTAGCCCTGGATATTTGCTATTCCTAAAACTGCTTATTTGTATCCTATGACTATCATTAAGTATTGTACCTTATGATTCTTGATGAATGTATCTTTTCTTTTATGTACATTGAGAGCATATGCACCAAGACAAATTCCTTGTGTGCCCAATCACACTTGGCCAATAAAGGATTCTATTCTATTCTATTCTATTCTATTCTATTCTATTCTATTCTATTTCTATTCTATTCTATTCCATTCTATTCCATTCCATTCCATTCTATTCCATTCCATTCTCCATTCCATTCCATATTCTATCTATTCTATTCTATTCTATTCTATTCTATTCTATTCTATTCTATTCTGAAGAAGCTTCTTGGATGAAAAGTGAAACATCTTCAAAGAAAAAGCCAGAAAGTCCAGTTGCCTCTTGAAAAAAAGCACCTTTGAGACAATATTATTATTTGTAACCCTTATAAGTCACTCAGAATCTCTTCGGGGAAGGCTTTATAAATTCTTTAAATAACTAAAAATAAAAATCAAAAGATGCAGGTACCTGGTATGCGCTAAAGAGGGTTAGTATAAACTCTGATTCTACTTCTATAGTCATTTGCCAATTTAATGACAATACTGTATATTATAGGACCAAAGAGAAGGGAATGATGTTAGCTCATAAGAGATGAGGATGGTGATAGATTAGGTTTGCTATGCCCTATACTAAATTTCATGGTCCTTGCTTAGATATGGTAAGGATTGGGTTTTAGGTAACACTGTCTAGTTCAGGGGTGGGCAACTCTGACCCCTTTATGACTTGTGGATTCCAGATGGCTTCAGAATTCTGGGAATTAAAGTCCACAGGTTGTAAAAGGCCATAGTTGCTTACCTCTGATCTAGTTGCTCCTAAGCAGACTCACTAATGGAGCAGAATGATGTGACTTGGCAGTGGCAGATGCCTCCCAGTTTTTAGTTCACAGTACTTCAATTTCCACTCTGTGTGGTCATCTTAATAGGCACTACCATGGTGTTTATGAGCTTCATGACAATGAGGGACTCTCACTTTATGTCTTTGCTATTGCTAATTACACTCTTCATTTGATTCATTATTTGTGCATAGGCATGTCTTTCCAGAGAGGGGCATAATGGCTCAGCAGTTAAGATACTGGACTTGCCCGCTGGAAAGTCAGCAGCCCAATTTCAAAACCCAAGCATCATGCAATGGAATGAGCTCCCGTTACTTGACCCAGCTCCTGCCCACTTATCAGTTCAAAAGCATTCAATGCAAATAGATAGATAGATACCACTTTGGTGGGAAGGTAACTGTGTACCATGCACCTAAGTGTATACTTATGCTGGCCACATAAGCACAGAAGGGTCTTTGGGCAACATTGACTTCCTCGGCTAAGAAATGGAGATGAGCACCGCCTCCTAGAATCGTACACAACTGGACAGGGGAAACATTTACCTTTATCTTTAGGTCTGTGAAATGGGGAGAGTTATGTAAAATTATACTTCTTCGGTTTCACTCAGAGCTGAACGATCTGAAGAAAACAAATTGCATTTTTAAAGGCAGAGATGCACATATAATTGCTAGATTTGGAAAGAAATAACACCTTGGGAAGCATGATTTCCACTCCTCTATCAATTGCAATGGCTTGTGTTCCCATATGCTCAGTTTCTCCCCCAACTGTGAACAGTGTTCAGACTTCTACTTTACATTCATTAAGGTGTACCTACTATGCGGCCGTTGTGTTCAGAATTAATAAATGAATGCAGTGTGTGTGTGTGTGTGTGTGTGTGTGTGTGTGTGTGTGTGTGTGTGAGAGAGAGAGAGAGAGAGAGAGAGAGAGAATGTGTGTGAGAGAAATAGTGCTGTAGAAATTAAAACATTTCCAGTTGATTAGAAAGGTCCAGTGAATATCCTTGATTAATTCAGAATATTCCCTCCAGTAATGAAACATCAAAAGTGAGGATAATCTTACTTGAAGTGTCCCCATCTAAGGCTACCTTATAAGTCTTAGTTCGATGGTGATCTCTAGTGGAGACAAAGAGCTGCATCACATGGAGAGCCAGAAGGGCAATTACAGGGACTATTCTTGAACTATTAACTTTAATGACTGCTGAAAAATGACTTTTAATCAGCAAAACTGTGCCATTTCAATAGCATTTCACTGGATCACACTATCGAAGCCCTTTGCAAAATGTTGCTTTGGCACGAAAGCGTAAAAAAGCTTTACTTCCAAGTTGCTCATAAGGTTAACAAAGCGCCAGCAACACAAACGAGTCTGTAATAATCCTTTACATTCAACCTTGTGGTCAAACGAAAAAGAGACAATGGATCTTAATCATGTTATTCAAAGAAAAGGCTTTTTCTCCAGGCTGTTAGGTTGCCACAATCCTGTATACCCTGTCAAACTAAAGAGGTTGTAGACTTTCTTTCAAGCAAGGGGATTTAGGATTGGGTTTGTCTACAATATTCATAGAAGAATAGAGCAATGGGCCAAGTAATAGGCATCACTTTCAAGGAAGTTGTTTGTTCATATCCAAATCACCTTGAATTGTCAACTAATGCTGAATTAACCTCAGTAATAGCTAATGATCCAGGTACATTTTAAATTAGACCTAATTTAGTTGTACTAAAATAGATATTTTCAAGGATTTCCAGTCAAATGCTCAGTACATTTTGTGGTACTCAGGTATTAATGTTGTAGCATCATTAAAGTTCGTGTCCTGCATATCCCACCTTTTAATCTCTCTTTTTTCCTCTAATGTGCAAATGCATTATTACAAAATCTATACACAGCTAAAACCTCCATGTCTGTTTGTTTGTAATCTTCAACTGGAGAAAGCAATGCATCATAGGGCAACAACTTTTGAGCCAAGGTACTTCAAATGGGCTAATTTACAGAATACAGAACCCCATTATACCCATGGGATTGAAATCTGACAAATTTGTGATTGCTTCAGCACCACTGCGCCTTTTGACTACACTTCCCAGAAACCTGTACTTTGCAAGTTTCAAGGAAACATGGGAGGGCCATATCCCAGTCCTCTTCCCCCCCCCCGCTTCTCTGACCCTGCACCCAACTGGATGGCAGCAAACCTGATGGGGAAGCAGTGATTGGCTGCTCTGGAATGGAGGCTGAAATTTGAAATCTCTTAGCAGTGGGTAGCAAGAGAAAGATTGAGGGAATAACTTGGATGCCTGCTGTTGAGGTAGGATAGGCTGGGAGGTGCTGGCGGTCAGTGGATGAGCTGCAGGAAGGAGGTTCTTGGGGACATGATGGAATGGAAAGTAGGAGAGCAGTTTTTCTTGTGGTCCATGTCTCTTTGTTCCCCCTCCCCTCAGCAAAGTGACAGGCAGTTCGATCGGAGAGGAAGAGGAGTGATTTCTGATGCTCCCTGCCAGGGCCGGATTTTCCTATAGGCTAACTAGGCTTCAGCCTAGGGCCTCAAGATCAAGAGGGGCCTACATTCCCTACATTCAAATTGTAGCAAAATTAAAATTACATTTTCACTATAGGTGAAAGGGCCTCATAAGTGGAATAGCCTAGGGCCTCTTTTCATCTAAATCCGGCCCTGCTCCCTGCCAGTTTCCCTCAAGCATCGTCAATGGGGAAGCTGGCGGGAAGTCAGAAATCGCTCCTGCTCCCTCTGCTTTTTTGCTCACCTATGGTCATTCTGTTTCTCTGTTTAGATAAGGAAATATCTTTGAAATGATGACCCAGCAGGGCACTGGTTGTCTAGTTCTTCTAAAACCTAAGGATGCATAAAATAAAGGACTGGTTTACAAATGACTCTTCTTTCCCCCACTATAAATAGACAATCTCAGTTTGGGAAATAAACAGCATGTGATTTGATTTCCCTTTCACTGTAATAACCTGTGGATTCCGAATTTGTGTAGCCACAGTAAACCGTTCCACATCTGACAATATATATGTTTTATGCTAGTCCAAAAGAAAAATGTTCAAATCCTTAATTTTTCCAAAATATCATGGCTGTACAACCGTGGCCTATGTGTTACGGGTGTCATTTTTTAAAAAAATAAAAAGATCTCAGTCATAAGGAAAATCACAGTGCATTTAAATTTTGCACTTCTCTTCTTTTGCATATTCCTCCTGATAGAGCAAACGATGCAACAGAAAAGGATCTGGGTGGATAAGAAGAAATGAATGTTTATTCCAGCTAAGTAGGAAGAAATACATCTTCAACTTCCAAGAAATGAATGAAGAAATGCTACTCCTTTATTGGTAAGCAAACTCTCCAGACTCTGTAGATGTGTGGTTCGTGGGAGGTCAGCTTAATGTTTCCTTCAATGAAGACATTTGAAAGTATCCCGAGAGATAGGGGTTAAAATAACCTCTAAGGATTATCTATTTTTGCAGACTAATGTGTTTTCTTCCACTGGGCATAATTTAATAAGCGTGAATGCAGAAGGAATCCAATTTCATACAGAGGAGATGATTGCTGTAAGCGTGTGCACACACAAATACACACTCCCCTCTGTCAGCATTCACTTCCCCCGCTGCCATTTAATAAAGACAGGAAAGACAACCAAAGCAAGGAAATCAAATTAGCAGTGATTTCAAAATACAAGAGGAAAAAAAAATGAATTGGGGAGATGCCACAAATAACAGCAGCTCAACATATAGTAGCTGATCTGCTAAATGATGAGAGAGAAAGGGAATTCAATTATCAAACCAAATTCCCCAAGAGCAATTGACTCCCTGGGTGGGAGGATGCTGCAGCTGGCATGCTTCAACTCTGATTTGCACTTACTTATATCAAAACGAAGTAAAAAAGAATCCCCACCCTCCTTCAAATAACAGTTGTTCCAATTTTCAGTAATACTGCTCTATTAGGGATGAGATGTCATAAGTAAATGGAGACTTTTCTGATTAGCTGGTCAAACTAAAATAGTGGGAACCCTGGGCTTGTAAAATGAAACCAATATTACAGAAAGAAACAAGGAAGAGAGGCCTGTGTTCTTTTCCCTCCATACTTACAGTCTAAATTTTAGACTAGAGTCTAAAATCAGCCTCTGTTTTTTTGTTCCTTCAAATCAGTTTTTGATTCTTTGTGGCTGCCTGGTTGATTCCCTGCAGTTTGTTAAGCAAGGCTTTTTGCAAGTGGTTTGCCATTGCTTCCTTCCTGGGGCTGTTAGGAGAGGCTGGCTCAGGGACACTGAGATAGCTTCATGCCTAAAGTGGGACTAGAACCTCATTGTCTCCTTAACCACTACGTCGAATTCAGATTACAGCATGAGTGGTGAACAACCTACTGAATCAGAGCAGTTGTCCTTTCAGGTTCTAAATGCAGATTAAATTATTAAAATCAAACTGTTTGCATTTAAACATGTCTTGTGTGTTATGGTCTTTTGTTTGAAGAAAGTGGGATTTTTTTTTTTCTGGATAAAAGTGACATTCTAAACTAGACCGTCCTGCTTTAACATCTGGTTCAGAAATCCAAACAGAATAGATTTGTACAGTGGAATCAAACTGAGAATTCAAGGTGATTTAATTCCTCTTATGATCCGAATGGAATAAACAATTGGCCTCTAGAGCAGCCTTCCTAGCATTCTGTATTCTCAGATATAAGGGATGCTCTCTTTGAGTGTATGAATCTGGGGGATTGGCTAGAGGCAGTCTACGATAAGGGAACCCAGGCTCTGTTTGTGATGAAGGGAAAACTATTATTCACATGTGTATACTGTATATAAGGGCTGAAGTGCTGAGGAAAACAGAAAACGCCAAGGTCTTCTTTTTTATTTCACTTAGTTTTGATCTTTTGCTATCATACTGAAAATCCTGAGCAAATGATAAGCTGACCCCCTAGTTGCTAGGTTTCAAAGGAGGTTGCTTATACAGTGCTCTCTCTTTCTCTCTCATTCTCTCTCTCTCCCTCCCTCCCTCCCTCCCTCTTTCTGCTCCCACCGACTATATTAGTGCCTTCAAATTCGCTCTTACTCCTAGTAACTATTTGGACCAGTTCCTGCAGTTTTCTGTTGTGTTTTTCTTTAATATAATTTTTATTAAGGATTTTAATTACGGTAATAAAAAAACCCTAACACAAACTAAATTTTGCATATTGTTACTCAAATGATACGGATAATTTTAGCTACTATTTGCTTGTTATAAATTTAGATGTTATCCTGTTTAATATGATTTTAATGTTTACATTATATTTTAATATAGGCTGTACCCTGGACCTCCCTCATAGATGTTAGTTAGGTTGTTTTACAAATGTATTTTAATTCTGTCTTAAACTTTATTTTCTTTATTAAGCATACGACCACAATAAATTGAATTGAGTCAATGGAAGCTAAGCTTAAAGAAATAAAATATCATGGAAAGAAAACTAAAAAGTGCAAGAGAAAAAGAAAGAAGAAAAAGAAAGAACACAATAAAGAAATATATATATAAAAGACCTTCAACTATCCAACCTTCATTGCAAATATAAAGGTAAAGATTTCCCCTGTCTTATCATGTCCAATTCCTGAGGGGGGTGAAGCTTATCTATGTTTCTTAGCTGAGGGAGCTGTCAGCCTCCGCTCTTTCATTGCTTACTTGCTCGGCTGCCATGAAATGGGGGGAGGGGGGAGCTATTGGAATTCTTGGGAGGGGGGAAGCGAGCTGGAGGAAAACAAAAGTAAAACTTTGCTGCAGCGTTTTCTTTGAAGCTGATAACATCTCAAGGATGACACTGCCAGACGTTTGTTCCCACATGACCCCTGGAGAACCTGTGGATTGGATGATTTACACTGGACAGTTGGGGGGGATGCTTTCTATATGTGATTTTCGCACCTTTGCTTCAGACCTTGCTTTTCTTTGACTGCATTCAGTTCTTATCCAATAAAAGTTTCCTTTCTCTATGAAAATGGAGTCGGGGGTTTTCTTTCTTGGATAATGAAAGGAGGCCATCCTGACAGGAGCCAGCATTGCCAAAGACATTTCTGTGGTCATGTGGCCAGCATGACTATATGCCAAGGTACACATAATGCTGTTACCTACCAAAGTGGTACCTATTTATCTACTTGCATTTGCATGTTTTCGAACAGCTAGGTGAGCAGCAGCTGGGGCAAGTAACACAAGCTCACTCCATTGCGCGCTGCTTGGGTCTCAAACCCAGGCTGTGAGCTTTCCAGCTGAAGAGCTCAGGATTTTTAACCAAACCATTGGGCATAAACAGTCTCATGTAAACAAATTTAATAACTCTTCACCCCAACAAGGTTAAGCAAATATCTCTTCCTCCCATATACTATTCCTTATCTTTAAGCAAATCCATAAAACATCAACTTTTCAATACTTGCCTCGGCAAGTCCTTAAAGGATTTCCAGGACATTGGAAAATAAAATCTTATTTTAACTATCATTAAGTACCTAATGATTCTTGATGAACGAATCTTTTCTTTTATGTACACTGAGAGCGTATGCACCAAGACAAATTCCTTGTGGGTCCAATCACACTTGGCCAATAAAAAAAAAAATTCTATTCTATTGGTGAAATATACCAACTTTATATTTTCTTCTTCTTTTTACTGCTAATAATCTTTAATTCAAACAAATATTGTCATAGGATTTGATTTCTCTTCAATTTGTCTTTATCCTATCATACAGATTTCATCAACGCTTTAACAAGCCTCTTTTGTAGATCCAATAAGAAAATATTTTCTAGGTCATTTTCTTTTTAATTTTTAAGACCATCCAATTTCTTTTGTATAATCAATAAAGCATCCTTTTCAAATGACTCTCTTGACCAATAACTTGTAATTCCACTGTACTTTCCTTATCTTATTAGATAAATGTTCCTTATCTTAGTCTGTCTATAGAAGCCAACATTGTTACAGACAGTGTTGGTATGTATAGAAGTTACTAACTTCTGGCTCCATTCTTCAAAAATCTCTTTTAATAGTTCCAGGTTGGGCTTATCTCTTATCTGCCATACTATAGATCAATGGAAGTGAGTCCAGGTTTTTCCCCACACTAAAAGTAGCCTCACAACTAGATGTTACATACCCTTTACCCGAGACTATGTATTGAAAGAACTAGATGAAGATGGTATTTTCTTGTTTTCCAGCCCAACTTTACTTTCATTAAATGATTGACACAAATTACCTTTCTCAGAAGGGTGACTGGCAGCTGTAATATCGTCTATTCTCACCTCTTTTGGCTAGAATAGCTTGGATCGCAGTCTTTTTGAAATGTGAACATAAATTTATTTACAACTCTATTCCACACTCTTGAAAGCCAAGACTAACTATGCAACACTTAACCTACCAGTTTATAGAATAATTTTCAGCATTTATCTTTATTGCAAAAACCAGGAGGATAAAAATACTTCTGTTGGAAAGTTCAATAGCAAGCCAGACTGAAAGGACCAATGACTACATTAGCTTTCCATCAACAAAGAAGAACATAACTTGTTAGGACTTTTGCTGCGTTGACAAACTTGATTCTTCTTCTTCTTCTTCTTCTTCTTCTTCTTCTTCTTCTTCTTCTTCTTCTTCTTCTTCTTCTTCTTCTTCTTCTTCTTCTTCT